ATAGGCAAACACATTTCTCCTTTCTGTAAACCACTGGTGCATACTGCACAAAATCCACTCGATGGTGATGATATTGATGATGATGATGATGATGATGATGATTTTTGGTACTAGGAATTGAACCCAGAGGTGCTTAACCACTGAGCCACATCCCCAGCCCTTTTAAATATCTTGTTTGTAGACAGGGTCTCGCTGAGTTGCTTAGGGCTTTGCTAAGTTGCTGAGGCTGGCTTTGAACTCGAGATCCCCCCCTGCCTCAGCCTCCCGAGCTGCTGGGATGACAGGTGTGTGCCACAGCGCTTGGCTGGAAAAATTATGGAAGAATTATTCAGGCAGGAGTTGGCAAATTTTTCTTCAAAGTGCCAGATCAAACACTTTTAAGCTTCTGAGCTTTCTGGCCACTTCTTGACTTTCTTGCATCCTGGGTAGAAGATGCCAGAGACATTGTATTAAAAAAAAAAAAAAAAAGAGAGAGAGAGAGAGAGCTCAGCTGTGTTCTAACAAGACTGTGATTACAGAAAGAGGTGTGAGTCCCATCTGCCAACATCGAACTTAGCCTGTTCATTTGAGAAGACATTTGAGGTCTTGGATTGTGGTTTTTAATACGTCTGTGCATGCATCTTGATGTAATTGTGAATGTGGATGTTTAGGAGCCAGTCTTTGGGAGAAAGGCCTAGGACTCCTCTTGTGGCTGCACTGTCATTTATTTACACAGTCCCTGCCCTGATGATAGCAATATTTCCAGTATTCCTCAAAAAGTCAGGTGGAGGGAGGTATACCTGGAGTAAAGATCATCCTTTCAAGTGTACAGTGTTACTTTGGCAAACATGCCCAAGGCTGTAATTCTAATCAAGATACAGAGCAGCTCCATCACCTCAGAGAGTGTCCTAGTGCATCATGGGAAGCCATCCCCTGGGTCCTCCTGAGCACCTGGTACCCAGGGATCTGCTTTCTGTCCCTGTGTTTGCCTTTTCAGGCATGTCACACAGGATGCAGCCTTTGGAACCTGGTTTCTTTCACTGAGCACAGTGGGTGTGAGACTCAGCCATGCTGAGGCTCAGGAACATGGTTGGTTCCTTTTTATTACCAAGGGATACTCTGTAGTGCAGACCCACCACAGTCTGTTTATTCACTCACCAGTCATAAGGCATTGGGTCATTTTCAGTTTAGGGCAATTACGAATGAATCTGCTCTTATTAGTTCCTGGCTTCTGTGTGGACTTCAGTTTCTGCATCTTGGGTCAACGCCTGGGGTTGGGATTACAAGGGCTACATAAATGCACGTATGACTTAATAGGCAATCACCAAGCAATTTCCCAAAGTGACTGCAACTTGGTTCTCCCTCCAGCCATATGGCGTGCTTGACAGCATTTAGCATCGCCAGTTCTTGTGTTAGCCTTACCGAGAGTTGTACGCAGTTTTGTACTACAATAAACAGTGCTGATCACTGTTTATGTACCTATGTCCTTAGACATGTATCCTTTACTATTAGGTGTGAGTATTCTGCAAGGTACATTCTTAGAATCAGAACTGATGGGGGAAAGGGTATGAAAGGCTGATTTGATATTGCCAAACAGCCTCTGGATGGTGGCGCCAATTTGCCCGCCCACCCATTCCCTACGGCAGTGCCTGTCTTAACCACATCCTTGCCGGCAGCGTTTTACTCAATTCAAGTTTTGATTTAATTATTTTAAAGAGATGGGGGGGGGGGTGGTGTCTCTCTTTGTTGTCTAGGCTGGCCCTGAATACCTATGCTCAATCGATCCTCTTCTCCTCCTTTCTCAGCCTCCCAAGTAGCTGGGACTATAGGTGCCTGCCCCCACCTCCAGCAAGTGCGTATTTTTGAAGAAAATTATACTCAAGACAATTGCAGAGTAAGTGTGAACTTTGGAGGGGTTTAGGGAGTACTTAAAGTAAAGCTTCTGGAGCAGGACCTGCTGATTAATGATCAATGGCACTACTAATCAGTCACAGTGTTCTTTGCCTCAATATATTCAGTAGGGCTTCTTTCTGAAGAGCTCAAACTTCACCAAAGGAATTTAGTTGATCCTCATAATAAATCTCCTGAGATGGTGAGCAGGCATGTAGGCAGTGTGGTGCTGCAGAGTAGGGAGACCTGACGGGAAGGAACTTTCAGAGGTTCCAGAACAGATCTGTGTCCCACAGGGTCCAAAATGAATCTGTCGGGGCTGGGGCTGTGGCTCAGTGGTAGCATGCTCACCTGGCATGCGTGAGGCCCTGGGTTCGACCCTCAGCACCACACAAAAATAAATAAAGGTCCATTGACAATTTAATAATACTTTTTTTAAAAAATCAATCTATCTAGGGATAAGAATTGATTCCTCTAGATTAGGATGAGCCTGTTATGGTTAGATGGTCTTTCTAACTTTTTTTTTTTTTTTAAACTGCTACCCTCTTTGAGAAATACCCCAGGAGTTGGGGCCAATGATGCACGCCTATAATCCTGGTGACTTGGGAGGCTGAGGCAGAAGGATCCCAAGTTCAAGGCCAAACTCAGAATCTGTCTTTGAATAAAAAAAAAAATGGGGGGGGGACTGGGGCTGTGGCTCAGTGGTAACGCAAGTGCCTGGTATGTGTGAGGCACTGGGTTCGATTCTTAGCACCATTTTTTTAGTTGATGATAGATTTTTATTTTATTAAAAAAATAAAGATCTATCATCAACTAAAAAAATAGATAAATAAATAAAATGGGGTGTCGATGTAACTCTGGTAGAGTGCCCCTGGATTCAATACCTGTACTACTACTACAACTAATAAATAAGTAAACATTTTAAAAAAGAAAGACAACCTCGGGATCTAAAATATATATATAAAACATGTATTTTTTGAAACAAAAACTTCAAAGAATAATCTTCAATGTCGTGTACTTGTTACCTTGTTTCTTTGACAATGTGCTGAGCACATTGGGATCCAGAATATCTATTATTGGGCTGTCCGGCATTTTATTTATTTTTTTATTGATTCTTTTTAGTTATACATGACAGTAGAATTCATTTTAATATAATTATACAAACATGAAAATATCTTATTCTAATTAGGACCCCATTCTTCTGGTTGTACACAGTGATGGGATTCACCTGGTGTATTTATATGTACATAGGAAAATTATGTCAGGTTTGTTCCACTGTCTTTCCTTTTCCATTCTTCCCTCCCTTCCCATCATTGCTCTGCCACCTTTTTTTTTCTTTTTTTTTTGGTGGTGCTTGGGGATTGAACCCATAGCCTTGTGCATTTGAGGCAAGCCCTCTACCAACTGAGCTAAACCCCAGGCCTCCTATCATTCCCCTTTGTCTAATCAACTGAGTATCTATTCTTTCCCTCTCCCCTCTTATTGTGGGTTTGCTTCCACAAATTAGCAAAAACATTTCACCTTGGTTTTGGGGATGGTCTTATTTTACTTAGCATGATGGTCTCCAGATCTATCCATTTACTGGCAAATGTCTGAAAGTCATTCTTCTTTATGGCTGAATAATGCTGCATTGTGTACGTGGACCACATTTGCTTATCTACTCATCTCTTCAAGGGCACTTAGGTTGTTTCCATAGCTCATCAATTGTAATTGAGGTGCCATAAACATTGACATGGCTGTGTCACTGTAGTATGTTGATTTTAAACCCTTTGGATACACACCAAGGAGTGGGATAGCTGGGTCAAAGGCTTGTTCCATTCCCAGTTTTTTGAGGAACTCCATACTACTTTCCAGAATGGTCGCACCAATTTGCAGTCCCATCAACTGTGTATGTGCCTTACCCTTTCCCGACATCCTCACCAACATTTATTATTACTTATATTCTTGATATTTCCGGCCAGCATTTTAAAGAGCACAGTTGTAGAACCCACGTCAATCCATGTCACTTGTATAACCAAGGCTTTCCATCTCCCTGGTGATGCAAATTGGAATCATGCAACCTCACATTCAGTTTGGGACACTTGATTCCCATGTTCCTTTTCTGGGGATCTGAGAGCCTATTCCTTCGTCAGTTATTTCCGCAAAATAGCTCTTGGATTCCCTATGTGCACTGCGCAGTATTCAGTGCTGGTGGAAGACAGCCGGCTTTGAAGAGAAAGAGGCCTGGATTCAGATGTCACCGTCACCTTCTGCTGGGGATCTTACAGGGAAATCACTGAGCTAAGGTATGGAAAGGACTTGGCCCAACGTCAGACTCACAGCCGGTGCTTAACACAGCGGTCCTCAACGTGGGATTTCCCAGACCAGCAGCGTCGGCGTCACCTGGGAACTTGATAGAAAGGCAAAGCCCCAGGCCGCGCCTCAGTTTCACTGAGAAGCTCCGAGGCTGGGACCCGGACGTCTCTCTTAACCAGTCTTCCAAATGGTATCGAGGCCTGCCCACTTTGAGAGCCAGCGGCTGAACGGTGGTAACATTAGCAGTTAGCACTCAAAGCTGCACTGATGAGCAGCGGGCGGAGGACGAGCGGCTCCGCAGGCTGCAGTCAAGCACCGAGGCGCCAGCAGCACCCACAGGTCAACGCTTGAACTGTCTCTGTCCCGGCTCCTCCCACCTCCCGCCTCCTGGAGCAGGGCCCGCCTAGTGCGCTCACTGATTGGTGGAGTCTCTCGTGGACTTTCGCCACTCATCCAATCCCGAAGAACATAAACAGAGAAGGGCGGGACTGGGCTGTGCGCTCATTGGCTGTAGACCACGCCGGGGCGGGAGGGCGGAACTGAGCATGCGCACTTTCGCGGCGCGCCCCCGGCGGCCGTTGAAAATGGCGACTGTCGCCGAGCTCAAGGCTGGTGAGTACCAGCAGGGCGGCTCGCCGGGTGGTAAGCATCGCGACTTCCACCGGTGAAGAGCACGGGCCGGAAGGAACACAGGCTGGGCCTTTGCGGGGCTCGTTCTGCGGTATCAGGGAGCGCCCGGCGGGGGTGGCGACCGCCGCGCGCGGGCTCTGGGAGGGACGCGGAGGTCCAGCGGCGTCGAGCTGCAGCCAGAGCCCAGAACCCGCGGGCCCCTGCGCGGGCTCCCGGGCTGCACCCTGGGCCTCTGGCGCGTCTTTCTGGACCCCGCCGGGGCTGGGGAGAGGGAGGCCCGGGCGGGCTTGGCACCCGAGCTGCCCCGGGATGCAGGGTCGCGACCACTGGGCAGTCACCATTGCTGTACGCACAGCGGTCGTTGGTCGGAGCTCCGTCCTGACCGGTTGGCTCGGTTTGCTCAGGAGGTCCCGCTTGTCCATCAGGAGAAACCGGGGTCAGAGTTTCCTGGTGTGGCCACTCGGGAAAGTTCTGTGCATGTCATTAAGAACATTTAAGGCCATTAACTTCGAAGCAGACGTCCCGACAAGTGTTAGTGATTGCACACTGGTCAGCGCCTGAGCTGGGTATTAAGCACTGCCCACGGCCGTGCGTCATCTGATGGATGCCCTGTACCCGTGGCCTGGACTGGGAAACTGAGCTGTTAAGAGGGGAAGTGCCCGAAGTCATTTACCGAGGAAGAGACAAGTGTGGGAACCCAGATTAGGCGCACCGCGATGCCAGGTCTTCATCACCGGGCAATAAACCTGCTTAATGAGTCAACTGAGTTCTGGTTTCCCCGCAAGAACTCACAGGAACTCCAAAGTAGCAGGCGCCCAAGGCAGCAAGAGCCTCCCTATTGCCCGACAGTAAAGGTCAAATATACAATACAATCAATCCAGCATCACAGCAATTATATATAGCTCAACTCAAATCATCATCTCAATGGTTCCCTGGTGCTCACCTTTCAACCATTCCCTCTGGCAAATGCCAGGCATCCCTCAGACTGGCTGTGGCTCTCAACAGTATTCCATGGGGGATCAGCCAGGTCAACAACCTCTTTCTGATGGAGTTTTTATGGTGCAGTGTTCTAGGCATAACAATAAAGAGAAGGGAAAATGATATGGAACCCAGAGGGCGATTTGCTCTTTGCTTGGCCTACACTGACTTGAAGAGGGGCCATTTTCTCTGCTTTCCCCAGTTCTGAATGTGCTTTGTGTCCAAAAGAAAGTCCATGAAAGCTTGTTTGCCAAACATCTTAAATTTTATGGACGTTTTATCTTTTTGGGGAGGAGGGGTGTCTTGTTCTTTTTCTGTGGTTCTTTGCTTTTTTTGCATACCTCGTGCCTTGTGTGTATAGAATTCAGGCCACCTCGGGCACAAGCACCTTCATTGTTGCTTTGTTTTGTTTTTGGGGGGTACCAGGACTGAACTCAGGGGTACTTGCCCACTGAGCCACATCCCCAGCCCTAGTTTGATTTTTATTTAGAGACAGAGTCTCACTGAGTTGCTTGGTGCCTTGTTTTTGCTTAGGCTGGCTTTGAATTTACGATCCTACGGGTGCGTGGGCCACCACTGCAGGTCTTTTTATCTTTTTTAAGCACTCATAACTGTCATTAGAAAAAAACAAAACAAAAAGCCCCCAAACCGGTTCATTCAGACTGGGCCATTCCCGAAGGGTATCAAAGGTATCATATATTTTATACAAAATATATGACACATTCCTTTCTTTATGGCTTCTAGTTTTCTTTAATCACCTTTCTGCACTGGAGGCTGTTGGTGAAGCCCAGAATCCATTTGCAGTGACAAATGCTCTTGAACATAGGAGAGATTGGGGGAGGTAGGCTAGGTCCTGGTAAGCCAACTCTACTTCTTATCCCCCTATATTTTCCCGTCTGTAGTCTGGGAGTATGTCTCAGACTACAGCCCCTGACCACAAAGATGCTATAGGGATAAACTTGAATTCCTTCAACTATATTCAGAATAAATCATTACAACTTGGAAACTTTGTTTTTGTTTTGTTTTTGTTTTACAAGCATGGTTTGTGGTCAGTGTCATTGACCACTTGGTTACTTTGTTTAGCTCAAGGGCTGCATTTGCACTATTTACCTTTTAAACATTTTTCTTGAGAACATACCCAACAGTGACAAAATTTATAACTGAAGCATTAATATTTTATATTTAACAGTTTTAAAGGACACCTTGGAAAAAAGGGGGGTACTAGGGCATTTAAAAGCAAGGATCCGAGCTGAAGTTTTCAGTGCCCTAGATGATGATCATGAACCCCGACCAACGTTGTCTCATGAAAACCTTCTAATTAACGAATTAATTCGGGAGTACTTGGAATTCAACAAATATAAGTATACGGCATCGGTCCTCACAGCAGGTAAGTGGTCATGGTTTATCACTTGAGGCAGAATCTGTGCCTCCCGTTCCCCAATTTATCCTAGAAGTCCAATTTCATTACCAAGCAGTGTCATCTGGGTGACTGGATCATAAAAATCATATGTGCTCTTTTCACAGCTCAAACAAAATTTTTTTTAAAATATTTATTTTTTAGCTTTTAGGTGGACACAATAACTTTATTTTATTTTTATGTGGTGCTGAGGATCGAACCCAGGGCCTCATGCATGCCAGGTGAGCTTGCTACTACTTTAGCCACATCCTCAGCCCATCAAACAAATTTTTATAAAGTTTAACATACTACAGGAGAAAATACTAGCTAGAACTTTCCATTACAGGTCCTTTAATATTAAACATACATTTCTGCATCCCTCAGTTTGTTATAGATGGCTATATGATGCCAGTGACATCAGCTAGTTATCTTGGATTTTGGCTTCCCTAGAATGAAATCCAGTGAGGTAACCAAATTTCATATTAAATGTTTTGGCTTTAAAAAAAAGTGTAAAATTTACATACAAAAAAAAAAAATTACCCTTTTTAGTGTACAGTTCTATGGATTTTGTGAAACATGTTCAATCATGTAACTACCACCACAGTCACAGTCGAGACACAGAACATTTCCGTCACCTCAGGAGATTTTCTGGCACCCATCTGTGGCCAGCCTTGTCACTCAGCCCCGCCCTGACACTCACTAAGCTGTCATTTTTCTGTTCTGGGGTCTTCTTTTCCCGAGTGTCCTGCATGGAGCATGTTGGTAAAGCCTTTTGACTCTGCCTCCTGTTGTTTGCATACTGCACCTGAGGTTCAGCCATGCTGGCTGTCCCTGCAAGTGGCATTATCCCCAGGGAAACCGTGTGGCCCTGCCAGTTCACCTGCTCCAGTGGTTAGGCAGTTAGGTGGTCTCTAGTTTGGGGCAGTTATGAATCAAGCCACTGTAAACATTTACTTATGAGTTTTTATGTGAACATGAATATTCATTCTCTTGGGTAAATAGCTAGGAGTAGCGTTGCTGGGTTGTGTGGTAAATGTTCACAGACCTTTATAGGAAAAGGGGCCAGCTGTTTTCCAAAGTAACTGTGCCATTTTACTTTCCCACCAGGGAAGTACGAGAGTTCCAGTTGCCTGTGTCCCTGCCGGCACTTGATATCAAATCCAGTTTTACTTTTAGAATTACTGCTGCCAAATGGATATATTTTTTCAAAATTGAGTTATTAGTAGTTATGTGTTTATATTTTGGTGGTGCTGGGGATTGAACCCATAGCCTTGTGCATGGGAGGCAAAGCACTCCACCAACTGAGCTATATCCCCAGCCCTTCCATCATTCCCCTTTATCTAATCAACTGAACATCTATTATTTCCCTCTCCCCCTTATTGTGGGTTCGCTTCCACATATTAGCAAAAACATTTCACCTTTGGTTTTGGGGATTGTCTTATTTTACTTAGCGTGATAGTCTCCAGATCTGTCCATTTACTGGCAAATGTCTTAAAGTCATTCTTCTTTATGGCTAAGTAATGCTGCATTGGCTTCTCAGGAAACTGATTGAAGTCTAGTATTATAATTTAGAGGCAGAAAGAGTATTTTCAATCCAGAATTGGGGATTTAAAAACTTAGGTTAAACTGCATTAAGTTTTGCATTAACAGAATGAATTTTTCAAAGTCATATAAAGTCAGTTGCAGGTGGATCTACCCTGTTCTGTCATTAATCTTCCCAAATCTGAAAAGCGTATGTGTATCTGGTAAGTATGGTTGTTATCAAAATCACATTTGTTATTAGATTAACAGACTCGGTGTTTTAATGAATTTTTCCCCTCCAGAATCTGGTCAACCTGCAGTTCCACTGGACAGACAGTTTCTCGTCCGTGAACTAAATGCCTTTGAAGAGTCAAAGGACAACAAAATGTAAGAAGCTTCTTTAAGGTGGGCGTTCAGCTCCTGGCGCAGGAGTCCTCCTGGCGCAGGGGGCTGTGGTTTCTCTTTAATTCAGCAGGTCTTGACCCAGATCTGGTGTGCAGCAGTGAGAAGGTCCGCTCTGCTCGTGAAAATCCCTATGGTGTCTGTCAGAGGACTAAGCATCTCTACTTTTTTTTTTTTTTTTTGGTGGTGCTGGGCATGGACCCAGGGCCTGGTGCATGCTGGACATGGCTGTACTGACCCCCACCCCAGCCCTCTTCTCAGGGCCACTTTCACTTGCTCTCCCTCTCGCCCGCTCTGCATCTCAAGTTCTGTCCTCGGGTTGATGCCACCCTGGTGGGAGTGGGCGACACTTTCTGGTGGTGGTTCTTTCCAGAGGGTCCCTGGGTGGGCGGAAGAGGGCTGAGGCTGGCAGGCCACTCCAGGCAGCCTGCCCCAGCACCTTTCCTTCTCTTTCTAAAAATTCATTGAGCTTTTGATTCTCCCTCCTGGTGTGATGGGGTTGATTACCGCGAAGCCTTTGACTTACATGCCAGTTGAATTCCGTGCAGTCGGTGCCCCTGATAATGTGCTGCCCGGCCCTCTACTCTGGGTTGAGGCCCGCGGGCCAAGCGTGGCGTCTGTGGATTTCTGATTTGAGAAGTTCAACTTCACTTGAGTTTCTGCAGCCTTTTGTAATATTGACTGGTCTTAAAATGCTTTTTGTCATTTGTTTCTAAGACTCTTTACGTCCTAGTTTCTGGGGCTTCCTCATAGTGCTCTTAGTTTCTTTGTTGACTCTTTAGGGCTCCTTTCACCTGCGCCCGCCCCCAAGTCTGCCCTCTGCTTTCCCTTCTCCTTGTCCTCCACCTCCTCTTCTGTGGCCTCTGGAGGCTCTAGTGATGCTGCCTGCTGCTGCCTGCTTTGAACTGGAGTCTTAAGTCGTAGGCCGGGTTTCTACTGGCATGTCCGGAAACCAAATGGGTTATTCTTATCTCCTCAACGCCCTGCCTCCGTGGGAGCCTCCTGCAGCTGCTCAGGTCTTAGTCCCTCTTGGTGCCGGCTCTCTGTTCTCTACCGGTCCCTCCGCAGATCCCACTGCTTCTGCCTCACGTCCCCTGTCCACCCTGTACCCCACTGCTCAGGAACCCTCTGACTAGGTTTTTCATCTCCAGTCACCTCCTTTTCCACCTTGTTTTACCTGCCACTGTCTTTCAACAGGTTGTTGCATGGTTTAAAAACAACATTGAGGATGTGACGAGCCCCAGCGCCTCGGCCCAGCGTGGCCAGCCGCGTCTTCCCACCCGTCTCTGGTGGGATTGGCTCACACCTCACTGTGCGTCGTCCCCAGAGGACACCTTGTAACCCCAAGCTTCTCTGCCTTTGCACCAACTGTCCCTTAGCCTCGCAGACAGGGTCACTTCCTTGTTCGTCTCACTTCCTGTGGGAGTGTCCTTCGTCACCCTGGCCCTGTTCAGATGTTAACTCCTTTTTGACATTTTTCTTCCTCTTCTTTCCACATTTCTGTGTTTCTTTAAGATTTGATTTTTACTTTTGTTATATGTGTGTTTCATTTTTTTCTTAGAGTTAACTGTTTATAGTTCATCTATTGGACAGGAATCTTTAAGAAAAAAGGATATGTGACATTCATTTCTATTTGTCATGGTATGTCACCGTGTTCTCTTTTTGTTTTAAATATATTTTTTAGATATTGATGGATCTTTATTTTATTCATTTATTTATATGTGGTGCTAAGAGTCGAACCCAGTGCCTCATGCTAGGCAACTGCTCTGCCACTGAGCCACCACCCCAGCCCCTGTCACCGTGTTCTCTACACACATGAATAAAATGCTTACTGCACTGAACCTCCATTACCCAGATAATTACTAACTATATAAAATCAGGGTTGCTTTGAAAAAGAGGGAAAAAACCCTTTTATCTCAGTTCTATTGATGTATATTTTCTTTAAAGTCCTCATGTGGGCAGTAAATGATTGTAGAAGGCTTTAGCAGCAAAATTAGACTGACTAGAAAGAAGATAATTCCATTACGCCATATTCTGAATCTAGAATTTGATCCAAATAAGTGTAGCTGGCGCTAGTGCACACCCGGACCCCACAGTCACGTCTCCAGCTCACACTCCACATTCGCATCCCCCGAGCATCCAGACCCCGCTCACCCCTGTGCTGGGAGGTCTGCTGCTCTGATGGAAGGGCCCGATAGGCAGGACAGGAGGAGGGGACGCGCTGCCTGCCTGCCCCTCTTAAAGTCAGACACTTCTGTGAACTGCCACAGGCTCCCGGAGGCAGAGCAGTGGCTGGAAGAGTCAGGACAGACCTCTTCAGCAGAGGGTCAGAGTGTTTTAAGTGACAGTGAAAGTAGCAATTGCTGTTGAGGAAGAATGCAGACAGCACAGAGGAGCAGCCATTGAAGAGGAACAAGCTTGGCCCTCGCTGAAAGCCAGTCTCACTTCCCCAGACGCCCACCGTGGACTCCCCTTGCAGCCATTCAAACTTACGCTGTATTTAACCCACCCGTGTGAACTCTCTCCTGCCTGTGCAGGGGGTGTATTTGCCACTTGTTTTTCATCCCAGAGTACATAAATCTTTTTTTCTTAATAAGATTATAAGTTATCCCAGCTATACAGAGCAGTGCGGAGTCATGCAGCAGACGCTGAGTTCCTTCCCCTCCGGCTTGGAACATTACGCTTTGTCTTTGAGTTTTTTAACTACATAAATATTAAGGGTATCTTTGAAGGCCACCTTCCCCCATTTCCCCTCCTCCGGCAAAACTGTTTCCCCTTTCTGTTTTAAGACAACTTTGTAGTGTTCTGTGTACCATAAATGATTGGCACCTGCTCCTATCGGTGGACATTTAGGTTGTTTCCAGTGTTTTGCTATTGCAACAGATACCGCAGTGGATGGTGGTTCACTTAAAAGTGTCTGAGAACCCATTGTGTGTCAGACACTGTTGTAGGCTCTGGAGACAGCAGTAGGAATTGTTTTCTGCAGTGTTTTCTGGGAACCAACCATGCCCAAAGCGTGATCCACAGAACAGTTGTCCTATGAGAGTCACTGCAAAAGGGATTTTGAGCAGGAAGCTACCATACCACATCCCTTCTTGGAGATTCATATCACCTTATTAGGGCAATTGCTCTGAGAAATCCTGCAATCAAAGAGCCATTGTTACCTAACCTGTTTGACAGAGGGACCAATTTTGGCATAAGTATTCACATCCTGTAAAGCCAGCGTTCATGGGTATAGTTGATAGCTGTACTTAAACACTGAGTTGTTAAAGCAGTGGGTAACACTTTAGAAAGCATATATTTTGACAAATTTTGAAAAGTATAGAAAACTGGCAGAGTAGAAATGGTGGGAGTGGTAATTTGGAGGAGTCTACGTGTGACTTGGGACGGGCCAGGAGGTAAGGTGGCATCCAGTTCAGGACCTTGGTTTGCCAGTAGCACTTGGGAATGAACCCTGATACAGTCTTCCTGGCTCTTGGTAGTTTTGAGATACTTGCTGCAGATGAAAGTATTAAGAAGTAAGTGACGGCTTTACTTCCAAAAATTTAGGGAGATTCTTCAAGCTCTATTTTTGCTGAGTTTAATGATTTGCATTTGCCAAGTTTGCCATTCCCCGTACCACTCGGGTTATTCACTTAGTGCAGATCTTCTGTGCCAGTTCTGAAACCCTTAGGGCAGCTGGGTCTTGAAAATCCAGAAGTTTTCATGGATAATATGTTAGGTCAAACCCTGCCACCAAATGAGGGTGTGCCAATTTTATGAAGAAAGTTCCAGTTTTCAAGAGGTTTGATTTTCCAGTATTGTATGTGAGGCTGTACTTTAAATGATCTTTTTAAAACCTATTTTAAAAAATGAATCTTGATATCCATGAAATTGCAAGTTAAATGTGTTAGTTATATACAAGTTAGAATACCTGATTTTTTAAAAATTTCAATCTTTTGTCAATCTTATCCATATTTAAAATATAAAAATTTAAACACTTAACAATCATCTTAACAAATTAATACTTGGGGAAAGACTGGCTTAAAATAATAGGAGACGTATCTTTTAATTGCTAGGTGAGGCCTGTCTAAGAAAGGGGTGGGCCTCCTCTTAGAGCAACCTCCTTGCCTGCTTTCCTGGTAACATGGGAAAATTGCTTTGATATGCAATTATTAATTGCTGCCTGAGCGACTGCCCCAGAATCTGATGGCTTAAAACAAATATTTATCCTTGTCTGCAGCGAATGTGGGAATGGGCGTAGCTGGGGAGTCGAGCTCAGGCTCCCTCCTGAGGCTGCGGCGGGCGTCTGGGGCTTGCTAGGGCTGGGAGTGGCTTGTAGCTGGCTCTCGGGTGGCTTGTAGCCAGCTGTTGACGGGCAGGAGGCCTCAGCTCCTGGCTCTTCATTCCCAGGGGGCTGCTGGAGAGTCCTTGGGAATGTACCTTCCCCTAGAGAGAAAGCCAGGAGGTAGACACTGTCACTCTCCACCTTACTCCGTGTGTTGGAACTGAGACCAGTGCACAGGGAGGGCAGTTGGGCCCAGTTTCAAAGGGCTTGTTCATGCTTTGAACCATACCAGCTGATAAGTAGGTGGATATCTAAGAAAATCAGTCAAGTTGTTGGATTTTCAAGGATGAAATTAAAAACATTTCTGTATTGTCAACAGGGCAGCTTTCATTGATGCAAAGGCACTGATATAAATTCCTGGGTGGCATATTTCTAGAAAAAGTATAGGACTTGGGGTGTAAATATGAACTTTATTTACTCTCTGGACTGTGGATTTCTCATTCACAAATTGATGATAATGGTTATGACATCACAAAGGGAGGATAAAATGAGGAGGAGTAGGAGTGTTTTGTGAACTGTGTGTAGCTTCTAAAATTCAGCTGCCACGTGTGTGCCGGGCAAGCCCTAAACACTCAGGGCCTGTGCTTTCCCCACCTCAGGAGGCAGAGACACTGAGGAGACCCGGAGGCTGAGTCTCGCCCAGGGGTCCACAGCTGACAAGTGGCAAAGCCAGTATTGGAGCCCTGGCTGTCTGGATGTGTGACATTTTCTGGGCCCTGATTTATTCAACAGGCATTTGCTGTCCTGTTACCAGGCAGAGTCAAATACTGGGAGGTCTATGGACTTGGAGTTTAAAAGCTGAATTCCTATGAATTGGTTCATAGTATTTCCGTTTATATGAATTTTAAGTTGTTCACATGTTTTCTCTAGGTTTTAAATTTTCCTTCAATTTAATGGTACTTTTAAACTTAAAGAGTATGAATAGTTCACAACTCAAATAATAATCACACACTATTTTCTTAATATTATTTTTTGATACTGGGGATTGAGCCCAGGGGTGCTTTACCACTGAACCACATCCCCAGCCTTTGATTTTTGAGAAAGGGTCTCATAAGTTGCTGAGGCTGGCCTTGAACTTATGATAATCCTGCCTCAGCTCCTGAATCACTGGGATCATAGGCATGCACCACTGCCCTGGCTTATAGAACTGTTTTTAAGCCTAGTGAATTACTTGGCCATTTTGGTGTCAGAGGTTATCTTTAAAGAATAAATGTTTTTAGTTGTCCCTTTTATGTTAATTGATTTTTTTTTTGTTTTCTTCCTGATATAGACCTCTTTTATATGGAATTTTGGCTCATTTCTTGCATGGAACTAAGGACAGCGTCCCAAACACCTTTCTGAAGGAGTCTTCATTTCAGCCTTCAAACCCAAATCTTGTCAGACAGAAGAAGGCCGATGGGTAAGAGGTTCCTGAGGTTCCTCTTTTAGCTTTAGCAAATGTGTTTTCTTCCTGTGCGTTTGTATCCTTGAAGGAGTTTTTCCTGAGCTTTTGAGCCGAAGTTTAATTTCATTTATATCTAAAACAGTGAGCTTATGTTACTCAACCTTCAAGAAATACTTTTTGGAAAGAAAATTTTTTTAAAAAGTAGGGGAATAACTGGGAAAGTCCGTGTGTGTGTGTGTGTGTGTGTGTGTGTGTGTGTGTGTGTGTACACATACATGTAAATTCATATACACACACAAAAGTTTTGCAAAACCTGATTTTTATTTATAGTCCTTGGAGCACTGCAGATCTGTATACTGCAAAAGTAGTTTTTTTTTACCAAGGGATCATTTTTTTCTGTCCAGGAGCTAAACACAGATGGAGAAGTCATGGGCCATGTGTCCTTTGCATTTTCAGGATTTTTTTTTTTTGTACAGTAGATGGTCGTTATTTTCACAAATAATGGATTCTTAGAATGACTGATCTTTTTTTTCAGAATGCTTGCTGTTAAAATGAGCTTTCAGTTGTTCAGTTACATCAGTAGTAGAGCCTCCGTTTTGGATTGCATTTTAGCTGTGTTTCCAGCCGTGGTAGAGAGCTCATTGCTCTGCCCACTCCTACCAGTAGTTCTTTTGTGTGGGCACGTAAAGTAGAATTGCTGGTCACAGTGTACAAATATTGAAAACCAGCACAAATTGTTTACACGCTTCCCAGGAATATGTGACTATATCCGTTTGTTCCAGTGGATCTTGGTGACATACGAGCACTTGTTACACAGCAATCGCAAGACATTGTATTAGTCCCGGGAAGAAAGAGAGCCTCTTGAGAAATAAGCCTTTCTGGCTCATAAGCTTCTTATAATCAGTCTCTTTAACATTCCTGCTAATGACAAGTATTTCTTGACCAAGTTCTGTTCAGAGGTGGAAGTCACTGATGAGCTCCTGCTGTCTTACACCACATGGGGATGGACACGGAGGGAAAGAAGGGCCAGAGACACCTTCTGGGTACAAAGTGCCAAAAGTATCAGAGAATCAGCTTCAAGGCAGTAAAGCAGCTTTGTTCTGTGGCAAGCTCCATAGAAAACCCAGCCGTGAGGGTGACCACTGATCCAGTGGGACAAGAACAATGACTTGCAAATTATTTTCTTGGCACAACAGTGATTTCTTTGTGCAATGACTTGAAGCACTGTCAGCCACATGTTTCGTCATGTTTCAGGAACATGGTTCAGCAGTCTACTCGCTTTCTTAGCCTGCATACCTGCACGCCTGGAGCTGCGTCACTCTTACCTGACAGCACTGAGGAGGTCGCAGAAATAGTAAAGTGACCACTCTGCAAGCCACGCGCCTTATCACTGCACCGGCCCATCCGGACGCAAGACAAGACATCAAACAAAATCTGCTTCCATTTGAAAATAAGCCCAAAGCCTGCCAAGATGAAAACACACCTCATAAGAGCTTTCAGAGTGGGGCAACCCCTCTGAGAGCCCGCTTACTACCTGCTGCTGGTGACCCTTGCCATCTTGCAGGCAAAGAAGTTTTTGCTCCGAATAAAAGACAAGATGTTTAGAGAAAACCTTTATCAGCTCGACTTTATACAAAAATGCAGACTCCATTTTATAGAACAGGACTTTTCTAGAAGACCTAACATCACTGTGCTCTAAGGAACTTGTTCATTTTGTTCTGTCAACAAAGTTGCCCAAATGTGGAGGGAGAGAGATCCCCATCTGTTATCCAGACTGGAGAGGTGTCCTATTCCTAAGGCGGATGTCACCTCTTCTTAAGGATTTGAAAACCAAGTGTGGATTTTTGGTACTAAATCTACATTTTCTAATCCCTTGCCTAAATTTGTATTTTCTTAAAAGAATTGACACAAGAAAGGCTCTGTCAGCTGTGGCAGTGCTGGGCTGGGCAGAAGTGCCCTCTTTACTGTGGCCAGAGCACTGCAGGGGTCACAGAAGCCTCCTGGAGCTTTCTTGTCTTGTTTTTTGGCTTTTGAAAACATTTTCCACAGGAGTTTTCAGATCTCGGTAGGAAGGTGTGAATGTGCCCATGTTTTTCTTGCCACCAGAGGGCGCTGCTGGGAGGCGCTTGTGTCTGAAGGTCTGGTTTCTGATGGAAGAGCTCTGGCGGCCCTCAGCAGCTGACCCACCACTTGTCCTCCTCCCTGGTGAATTCCATTCCTTACAAATAAGAGGTAGGCCTGGAACTCATCACGCAGGGGTTTCCTCCAGCCTGCCTCCTTCACTTAAAAAAAAAAAAGGGCAAGAAACTCTTTTGAATAGTTAGCCTCAAGGATGAACATTTCTGACTCCTCAGTAGGTTTAAGAAGTGCATTTAAAGGCAGGTGCAGTGGTGCAGGCCTGCGATCCCGGCCCCTTGGGTAGCTGAGGATCACAAGTTCCAGGCCAGCCTAGGAAACCTTAGCAAGGCCCTGTCTTAAAATTTAAAAATAAAGGGGGCTGGGGATGTGACTTGGTGGTAAAGCACTCCTAGGTTCAGTCCCCAATACCAAAAAAAAGAGACTTTTTTTCATCATCTTAAGCCATCTTCAGAACTCATCCAAGAGTGCATGACAGCATTGGAAAATTCGTGCAGGTATGGCCGCCCCTGTGTCTTAGGATACGTGTTGACATGTGCTTCTACTCATTCCAGGTGAACACCAAGAAAGGAGAGGGGCGAAGGCACCAACACCGAGGCTCTCCCCCTTTCTCAAGCCGTGAAGAGATGACACTTCGATGCAGAGTATCTTTTATCTTAAAATTGTGTGTATTAAGTAACTTATTTATCATTCCAGTGTTACAACTACTATTTGCATTTTGTAGAAATTTGAGTTTCTGCACAACACTTGACCCCTCGTGTTTTACTGCATTTGTGAATAAAAGCTAACTCTGTCATCTAGCTTATTGGCTGTGACTGGAAAGAAGGTGCATGGATTTTACGAAGTAGTTTGAAGGCCCAGAAGTTCATGAAAAATGCAAGGGCTTTTAGAACTTTGTACCTTCTTCTAAAAAAAGTTCCAGACCTTTATCCACATGTTCTGCTCCTTGACATGCACATGAATTAAATTTCCTTCAGTTGGAATCATGTGAACTTGTAGGAAAATTCATTCATGACTTAAAGAATATTAAAACCAAAACTAATTTCCTGTACAGTTTGATTTTTCTTAAAGGACCTATTTTTCAGAAAACCACTCATGATTCAGTTTAAATATCTGAATTACTACCTAAAGTTAAATTTGTACATAGATAACCAAGTACTTTTTCTTTCCTTAGTCCATTTTGGCTTCCGCTGGAAATTTTAATTAAAAGGTAGAGGAGGAAATAATTCTTTTAACATGCTATAAGTAAAACAGAGTTTATTTTGTTTTATTAAGAATGTAAAAGAAGGGGGGCTGGGGTTGTGGCTCAGCGGTAGAGCGCTCCCCTCGCACGGGCGGGACCCAGGTTCGATCTTCAGCACCACATAAAAATAAAGGCATTGTGTTGTGTCCATCTACACCTAAAAATAAATATCAAAAAAAAAAAGAATGTAAAATAAGGGGCTGGGGTTGTGGCTTAGTGACTGAGCCCTTGCCTCATGTGTGTGAGGCACTGGGTTTGGTCCTCAGCACCACAAGAAATAAATAAATAAGTGCAAAGATATTGTGTCCACCTACAACTAAAAAAAAAGAATGTGAAATGACATGAAGAGACAGGCTTTAGGGAAATACCAGAAGGAGCTTTCCCTAGAGGCACTTTTGAAGCCCCACGTGGCCCAGGTCGCGCGCCTTCCTGCGTGGGCTCTGGAGGTCATTTTGAATGTCCGTGTGTCTCCAGAAGCCCCTTTGATCATTGCTAAGGAAGTCTCGTGATGTGGAGTTTCACCAAGACAGCTCTCAGGGCAGCCCGCTCCTGTGCAGAGTCGTGGGGCGCTGGAACTCGGAGCGCCTGGACGAGCCGGTCTAGCCGCGTGCTTCCCACGGGAGAGGGCTGTGGCGGGCGCTGTTGTTGCCCTCCTTGGGGTGCTGGGTTTGTGCTAACTTTGAAAATGACAGAAACCTTTGATTTTTATATTTGATGATGTTAGTTGTATTTACTCCTTACAGATTAAGAATTTTTATCTAAACACAAACCACCATTGTTTTTCATTTTTATTTTGTTGTGCTTGGGCTGGAGCTCAGGGCCCCAGGCTTTCTAGGCAGGTGCTCTACCACTGAGCTACCCAGCCCATCAGAAACTACTAATGAAACCCCTTAAACTATATTTTATAAGTCAAAAGATTTTGAGAGCTGGGCGCAGTGGCTCATGCCTGTCATCCCAGAGGCTCAGGAGGCTGAGGCAGGAGGATCTTGAGTTCAAAGCCAGCCTCAGCAACAGCAAGGTTCTAAGCAACTCAGTGAGACTCTGTCTCTGAATAAAATACAAAATAGGGCTGGGGATGGGGCTCAGTGGTTGAGTTTCCCTGAGTTCAATCCCTGGTACCCCCCAAAAAAAAAAGATTTTGAGAGCCCTGTTTGTGGGTTAAAACTATATCTGTAGATGCAGAGTCTTATAAGGGCCCATTTTCATTTTTAAATCTGTAATGTCTGGTTACAATTATGAATTCCATTGTATCATATGTGGGAATATGAAGATCTGACTTTTCCCAGCAGTCTTGGTTCACATCCAAGTCGTTGTCACTAAGTTTACCTCAGGAATTGCAATCATGTAGATTAAAAATGCTGGAGTTGATGATTTTGGATACTGTTGAAAAACCATCACAATGAAAGCTGACTAGAACTGTCACCGGTGTTGTAGCCTCTGTGTGCATTATTCTGTAACTCCTGTGCCTGGGCAACTTTTATACTTTCAATATAGCATTTAATTAAAAAATATTTAAGCAATTCACCTGTGTGCAGAGGGTGTTTGTATCGCTGCTGTGTTGTCAAGAGCTGGGCTCAGAAATAGAAGAAGGACCCGGTGGCTCTCCCGCTGCCTGTCGGGGTCCTCATGGTGGAGAACCTGGAGTAGGGGCTGGGGTCTGTGCCCTGGGCTTCAGCCCTGTCACCCCGCAGCAGCTATTCCCAGGGTGCAGTGGGGGCCTGTGCCAGTCCCTCGGGGGTAGCATCACAATGGGTGGCAGGGGTGGTTTGAAAAACATTTGTATTTGGAAAAGAAAAGACAAAACATACACTGAGAATTTTATTATCCAAAAAGAAGGACTTCATGTTAAAAAAATCTGCCCCAGAAATCTCCATACTTGAGGTTTTTCAATAGTGTCAGTTTTTAATCCAGGAGCTCAAAAAGGCGGTGCCTGAGACAGGGAGACGCTGGGGGAAAGAAACAGAGCACAGATGGACTCAAGGAAAGAGAGGACTCCATAGTGCTGGTGGGTTCCCTGGGGTTGGGAGAAGTTGGGAAAAATGGGAAAGTGGAACAGAGGGATTTAGGGAGGTGGAGATTTAAAACGTGGACAGTCTAAAAATCCAGAGCAGGCTCAGAGGGCGTTTGAAGATGACGAACAGGCTTGTCATATGTATTTGCAGAGAATAAACGAATCGCCTTATGATTACGTGTGAGTACACATTTGTGTGTGGCTCACGTGCCTGTGTGACTGTGTGACCTTGATGAGTTCTTTTAGCCTAAAGCCAAGTGCACAGGAAGGACCGAGTTGTGACAGTCTGCCTTTAGAGGCCCTTGGTATGTGACGTTTGTAACAACTGTTAGGCACAGACTGTGATCTCCGTGGATTTTTAAAAAAGAAAATGAAGGAAAACTACCTTCTTAGAAATAGATGATATTGTTCAGAGCAGTTGCAGATGCACAGCTAAATAGAAGGGAAGGGACAGTGCCCTTTCCTCCCTGCCCCAGGGACGAGCAGCCTCTGCACCTGTCACTGTGGACGGGCCTGCTTTGACACCTTAAGTCCATGGTTGCGTTAGGGACCACTTGGTGTCTGTCCCGTGGTTTTGGACAAAGGTGTACTCACATATGTTCACAGTATAGTGTTAGACAGCAAGTTTCCCCCCACACCCTCTGTGCTGGGCTTTCTTCTGCCTTTTGCAGACGACTCTAGCTGGAGTCGTGCAGACTGGCTTCTTTCACCCAAGACCCTGCATTGAGTTCCCCTCATTGCTTCATGACTTGAAAGCTCATTTCTTTTTAGTCTTGAGTAGTATTCCACTGTTATTTGTCCATCCTCCACTTGGGACATACTGTTGCTTCCAAGATTGGGCAATTATGAACAAAGCTGCTACAAACATCCATGTGCAGGTTGAGTTTTTTGTTTGTTTGTTTTTGCGTTGGACATAAGTTTTCAACTCCTTTGGATAAATTCCTAAAAAGCGTCACTGGCTGGATCATATGGTAAGAAAATGTTTGGTTTTGTAAAAAACGATTTTTATTGAGACTCTTGGGACCCTTTCCTAAGATAGTGGTAGAGAATATACAGTTACTGGGAGGCCAGAGTTGGAAACTGGTGACAAGGAGGGTGGCAGGTCACTACCCAGTGCAGTCTTACGCCTGGAGAAGCGTGGGGCCGCCTGGCTGAGACGGAAGCGCTCTGGGCAGTGCAGGGGACACAACTGTGACTGGTCAGCAACCTTGGGCCAGGTGGACTTGAGATGATACCTGGGGCCTATTAAGTATTTGAGTATATAAATCTATTTACCTGTTAAGTAAATAAATCCTGAAGCCCACACAGGAGAAAATCATGCTTAGGGTGACCTATCTTTGAGAACTAAAAATTAGAAGGGGCCAAGTGCTGTGGTGCACACCTGCAATCCCAGCAGCTCGGGAGTTTGAGGTGGGAGGATTGCAAGTTAGAGGCCAGCTTCAGCAACTTAGGGAGACCCTAAGTAACTTAGGGTCTCAAAAGAAAAATTGGAGGGATCACACATTGGGGGCTTTTTGAAAACAGCAAGAAATTATTTTTATTTTTTAAAGAGAGAATTTTAATATTTATTTTTTAGTTTTCGGCAGACACAACATCTGTGTTTGTATGTGGTGCTGAGGATCGAACCCGGGCCGCACGCATGCCAGGCGAGCGCGCTACCGCTTGAGCCACATCCCCAGCCCAAGAAATTATTTTTAAAAAGACCCTGAGAGAAAGATTTCCTCTCCCCCATAGTTCATGGAAACGCGCATTATATGGTCCCTCACAGAAAAGACGTGCCTAGGAAAAATATTTGACAGCAGGCAAAGTGACATTTTGTAAAGTAGTTTTTTGTCTCCATCTTAAAAATAATTGGCCTTTTGAGACCTGAGAAATAAAGCAGGCATCTGCTTTAATTCATAGAAGAATGCACTTTTGAAGATTCCAGCATCTGAACGTGGAGCATGGGCAGGCACATGTTGAACCGCCATACGTGAACATGCCATCTCTGGGCACTTCTGGAGCACGCATGATGAAGTGGTTATTGGAAGGCTTCAACACCATCATATTCACAACTCGGCAAGCTAGTCAAGGCAGGGTCTAATCTTTACTTTTCCTTTGAGAAAATGGACTCAGGTACAGCCACAAGCCCGCAGCTGCTTGGCTGGTGCTTATTTAGTATTAAAAGTCAGGCCTGTCGTGCTTACTGCAGACTCAGGCGGTGCTCGGAATCCCTGCCCCACTGCTAACTACCCCAGCTACCTGCCCTGGGTGTCTCACCCCTCCAGACCCTCACCTACGTCATATCCTTATGAAGGACCACAGGAGAGAGCAGGTAAAACTGAGCATTGGCTTCAAAGTCTCTACTTCTGATTACTCTCTTCTCAAAGTTACCAACGAGTTCAAGCAATCAGCGGCAGCCCTTTGGAATAACACTGTTGGGGCCAGGGGTGGGAATGCCAGTCCTTCCACGGAGGGGGCCAGGCTGGGTTGGGCCAGCCGCTCTGGACTCTTTCCAGGATGGGAAGGTGAGGATCGGCGGAGTCTTCCCCCTTTCTCTGCTAATGCAAAG